GATAAATAAGCCTCAGTATGCCATTTAATTTCACTTTGCCCTGTCTCCCAAAAGGCTATTTCAACCAGTTTTTAATCACCTTAGGCCAATTAGGGTAACTAAGCTCTTTTCCAAGAATTACTTCCCTGTTCTGATCAAGATGGGTGAAAATCATTTATTTTATCTGCCAGTGTTTTAAGAAAAATGCTTAAATGTGATACTGCTTTTTATCTAGGTCGCTTTGGCTATCCAAGTTCTGATAATTGAGCCGTCCACCCCACATAACAATTTTACTAGGCTTTTTTTCAAAGAGTATTAATGTCCAAATGTGTCTTGAGATTCGTTGGCACCTAGGTCTTTTTTACAAGTGGTTCATTGCCCCAACATACAACGCACATTTCCCCCTTACCTTGACAGTTCAGCCAATGATTTCCATATTAACAAAGGGCAAACATCGGTTTTGACTTAATTTATGACAGATTTCATGCTGTAACAATTTCATACAGTACAATAGAAAGGAAATTTCTAGAGAAGTTGGGCTGAAGACACTCACCAGCACCATCACGGACCTCGGGCATAGGGGAACCTGGCATCCAGGCATCGGAATCTGGTATGTATATCTCCATTGAGTTCAATTTACGTTGCGTTGAGTTCCAGCCCCCGAAAGCATAGATTCTATCCCTATAAACACAAGCTGCTAGGCCGAATCGTCTATAAGAATAAACAAGAAAGTATATGTTCAAAACACTTGGTAAGTTTAAAAAAAACTAGTAAGCCCTAAGTAAACATTATATGAAAGTTGAAAAAAATGGGAGAAATAAGGAACATGAAGATCTTTTTGTAAATTAGCCTCACAGGTCTTCAACCGAGGATTGCCTTGAATTTAGAACTGCTGAATGATGACAAGCAGACTCAGGCTCACTGTCCTGTGACTCTGAACAATCCGTGCTGAGATTTAGTCTATTTTGTTGTGTCAGACATCTTCAGAGCTAGAAACCATCAGTTAAGCAAAAATAACAAAAACCCTAGACCAAAATTCAGTTCTATTTAGAGTAGACAAAGGCTCAACACGAATGGAATGGGTTCGCAGAACCTGAAAGTATATTGACATATATTTTAATAGATATATAATAATTTGGTTTGTTCCTTGTAATGCATTTTTGTAATACTTTACTGTTTGAGTTTGTGCATGTGAATGCGTGTATACGTGTCCAAGCCAGGAAAAAACAACAGTCTTGATTCTGATTAATTAGGATAGAACGTGACGTCATTCCAGAGTCATCAAGAGACAAGAACGACTGCAATGGGGCAATCTCAAAAAAACATCCACGGCTGATCAAATGAGTTTAAGTCATTTGTTGAAAGGCAGTCAGTTGAGTCGCATTATTTTTATATGAAGAGAGGATAGGTATATAATAATACATTAATAGATTTATGTTAGTGTACATTTTACTTCGTTTGAATAGGCGAGTGGAAAGAAATCGCAACCTGGTCTAACCGGAAACTGATGGTGGATCTCCTCAAAGTTGTCAATGTTTAATCTGAGACCTCTATGAGACTGTGCAGAGCTGTTCTGTATCCTTGAGACAGAACTCGTCAAAGGAGCACAAACTTTTATTTACGAAAGTTACACCAAAGCACCAGTACAAGAAAAGTGGCCGGTTGGA